GAAGGAAGAGAAGAGAAGAGAAGAGAAGAGAAGAGAAGAGAAGAGAAGAGAAGAGAAGAGAAGAGAAGCAGTGCTGTGATATTTACCAAGTACATCTGTAGCATCAATAAGTCCCAGTTCAACAGGGGTTGCTCCTTTCAATGTATATGTAGATGGTGTCTGAAGAAGAATGCTCACTTCTCCAAAGGATTGTTTTTGACATAATTGGCCAATGAGAACTTGTCTCATTTGTTTAACCTATTTAAAAACACAAACCCAAGTTATTTTTTGTTGCTTCGTATCCAAGAATGGTAAGGGTTTGGAAGAGAGAGAGGGATCATTCACAAAATATGCATGTAAATTGCAGTCACAATCCATCATTAGAACATTCAGCTTTATGGTATTTCACATATACCACAATAAAATCCAGGTTTCATTCTCAGTATAAAAGGCTGTGGTCAGGAGCTTGAGTTCACTGCCTTCCCTGCAATCATACACACGTGCAAGTATATATGCTTATGTGAACACACCCAATTTTGATGTAGGCACAAGCCTAAAAATCAAATTTGAAATGATGTCAGAATGGAAAAATGATCAAGGAGCAGAAAGACTTGTTCATTATCTGTCCATACAGTTATAGTCCACCCAGTACTCTATTTATCCATACAGAAGAATGCAGTTTTTTTTTCCTTGGCACATAAAAGTATACAGGACACTGTACGAAGCCATTGCTGAGAATTGGAAAGCTGTACGCATCTCCCTTCTCTCTTTTGTGGATTAAGAGCCCCAATTCCTGTATTCCAGAAGGCAAAACCCACAATTTATATTACAGATAATGGTAAACACAGTTGATTGCATTGTGCTCATTAAGGTTAAGCTTGGGTTCCATATGTTTAGCAGATTCTGATGTTCAATTCACATGATCATCAAATGGTGGTCCAAAAATCCATTAGACAGATAAAGCCCAAAGAACATATTAAAATATCTATCACATGGTCACCAGGCAACAACTAGTAGATCAATTTCTGTTCTCTCATCAGAATAATAATGTTATGTCTCTTGGGTTTATTTTGTGAGAAGTAACATGATTGTATTGATACCTTGTTCCTGAATGTTTTTCCTCAGAGGCAATGAAATGTAGTTTCATGCTTTAAAGCAGCATTCTAAAAATGTTTTTTTGCAATGCTAAACATCCATGTGTGAGAGAAATCTGTATAACACAGAGCTATAATGAACTTGGTTCATACAAATTACTACTTCAGCAAGGTGTTATTTATTTCTTCCTTCAGATTTTCATTTTAAAATATGTAAGACCTATACTGTTCAATTCATAATTTCACAATACCGTCACATTTTCTTATTTATAAAAAGCTCCCTATTGAAAAACCTATTCATAAGTTCCCTATTCCAACCTGGTCAAAAGAAGAATTTCGTAGAGGAAGATCTTTTTCCTTACCATTTTCCCCAAAGGTCGCTTTACAAGAGCCGGAATTATTCGGTAAGCATTGCAACATCCAGATTTAATGAATCCTACATATTTGCTTATTTCTCCTTCTTTCATGAACACTGCAACAATAAAAATAACAATAAATTACTTCTCTCTCTCTCTCTCTCTCTCTCTCTCTGAGTGTGTGTATGTGTGTATGTGTAAAGAGGTTTCCCACTCCATGATTTAAATGACGTGAATGGAATGAATTTAGTGTATTATATCATGCTTCCAAGCTCATCATAACATGTACATATGAAGTGATGTGAATAGTACCAAAGTGAAATAAGGATGAGGGGTATAAAGTTGTCCCTAGTCCTAGACTACTATATTCCACCTATTTCTGTACTATGGATAGGAACATTTTGCATATATGCAAGCATTCAGATTCTTTTAGTATGTCTGAAATGCATTCTGTATATGTCTACCCAGAATACAAGTGTGCTATTTAGTGTTGGATAGATCTTTCCCATCCATGAAATTGTTTTAATGGTACAGAATAGAGGAGGAAATCACCCAGGGCTGTCCATGTTATTTATCCACAGTATTGTTTCCATTGGTTCTGGAAAGTTCCGTGCTTTTTCATATAGATAGATATAGTTATTGTATACAGATAATGTAAATTGTTGCCTGTTGCTCATGTATCTGTCTCCCTGCTTTTGCTTTTTATTCTGTTTTTCCCAATTAAATGTGCTTTTAATGTTTGATGATATTATTAAATAATATACTAATGAATTTAACAAAAAATACTGTTCCATTCCAGAGGCAGAACATTTGGGGAGGACTGAAATATTATTTTTTCCTCTGAACCAAGCTGATCTGGTCATACCAAGAGTAGCCCCTAAATCGTCCAGAATAAATCTTCTGGAAGGGAAAGTGGTTTCTGGTTTCAGAGCCAGACCACAATCAAAACAACACAACACTCTACTTTGTCCATTGCTCTTTGTATTAACCTTGACTAACTGAAGTAGGAGGAAAGGATTGTGTGTATGTGGGTTATGGCTTTTTGACACAAAAAAGGCTTAATGAAATTACTACATGAAATAAATCATACATTTGCTATAATGAAAACAGTGACACAAGCACCATACTGTTCATTAGGGGAGTCTACATGGAAACCAAGGGGAAGAAGCCATATAATGTGGGCAGACTGAACAGCTGTGAAGAACAGAGGCTCCATAGAACAGGAGTAGCGTAAAGTCATTGCAGACTTTTATTTGATGTACACATACAAGAGCAAAGCTCTATTGAAGTCAGTGAAGCTATGAATCTGATTTTTCTACACCAGCTGGATTGCTCAGCTTGAGTTGGCACCTAACATTTTTCCATGGCTGGAAAAAATAGCAATAATAAATGCAGATACTTTCCAAATGTAATGTTGCCATTATATGCTCCTTTGTGACTGTTCATTGATGCAAAATGGCTAGGAACTGAAAACCACTCATCATTTAACCCAGATTTATTGGCAACTGACAACACAACACTGACAGTACTGTAAAGGCCAAGGTGACTTTAAGGCTCAAGTAAACTTTTTTTAAAAAGAAATAACTCCATGTGGGGATTCTATATTAAAATAACACTATAACTATCATATAATAGTATAACACATCCAAAGGATGATGTTAATCTTTAGTAATAAACATCTTGAGGAACACATTCTTCCCATCTGATAATAACATTACACAAAGAACAGCGTGTTTGCTGTTTTTGAGTTTAACCAAAAATGATATTTTTTAGGTATTGTATATTCTCTTTTATGTTGAAGCAGGATTGGAAAGAAGGGGGGACTGGGAAATATCTCTCTTAAATTAAACTTCATTTCACAACATAAGATTTATCTTATAAAGTCACTACTTCCAAGTATGCTGTACATATAGTACATCTGGAGCCTGCCTTAATAACAATAAAAATCCAGGAATGTGGAAAAAGAAAGTTGAGTGACTCACATGTTCTTCATCATTACTTTGGGAAAATACTTAAAGTAGTACCTACCATCTAGGTACTACATGATCTGAAAAAAAATGTCTATTCAGATAGGCCATAAAACAGAAGATAGGGAACATCTGGCCACAGACCTAATCCAGTCCGGCAGGACATACCCTTTCATCTACTGAGGTCCCCCTGAAGCCATTACCCAAAGATCCATGTTTCTCTGTTTCACCAGTGAATATAAGGATTCATTGCTTTTTTGAGGCCTTCTTTGCCCTATTCTGGCTGTTCCTTGAGAATGATGCAGGTTGAACAAAATCAGCTCTTGTGAATCTGTGATTAAAGAGGCTCTGCGCAGAGAACACCTTCAACAACTAGCTGTCCAGCAGTTTGTCAGATTGCCTTTTCTACATTCCAGTTCACTTGGGTGAAGCCAGTTCCTAGGAGAAAGTCACTCAAGTCAGGTGATCTTGAGGTGGCTCCTCCTTGGAAGTCAGTGCAAAGTTTTGATCTCACTGTATGTCTAGTCCATGAGAAATGCTAAAGAGAGGCATCTGCATCTGATTCTGCTCACTATGCTAGCTACTAAGTGAATGTTATTCCCTCACAGAACAGACTCTATAGAAACATTATTCCAGTATAGGAACAATTCTGATTTTAAGACTTCATATGCTACTGGAGCTTTTTCTCATTAAAAAAAAAAAAAATCAGGCAGGAGAACTGATGGAGAAATGAATCCTCATTTGCTTAAATATGACTACAGCCCAAACTGGAAAATGCTTTAGTCAGATTCCAGATCACACAGAGAGTTGTACAATTTTAATGCAATTACCGCTCCCCATCAGATCTCCCATCTAAACATACAAAGACTAGAGAGAAGCAGAAGCAGAAGCAGATGCTCATCTCTCCCTGTTTTAAGATCTATAGGTGTTAAGACAAATGCCTGAATAGAGCTCCTGTTATCCAATATTGTAGTATTATCAGTGAGGAAGAAAAACATTTCCTGTATTCCAAAGAACAGAACAACATTCCACTAATTTGGTGCTATGCAGCTATTTTGGGGCTACAGTTCCCAAAGCTCTTAGCCAGCATATGGTCCATATTGGGTTATGGAGTGCTACACTAGAAAATCTAATGATTTGCACCTCTATCTTCATTTTTTTCTGCAAGATTACCATTAAGTCTAATTCTGTCCCCCATAAACTCAATAGCTTTATTACACAATTCTGAAATGTCATGCAGTTAGATTTAAAAAAAAAAAAACCAACTCTCAACAATTAATTTCATACAACATTTTCATAAGGTCAAAATTTCTGAATGTGGAATACAAAATGGAACAGCACTTTTCCTAAAACAAAGGATGCAAAATGTGCTTAGCATGTCTATCCATAAAGACTATGTTTGCATGACATATCAATCCCTGCCTAGACCTGATCTAAGAGTAATCAATTTATCCAATTGATTATCCAGACAATCCAGTAAACTAATGGTCATCCTACTTACATCAGATAGCATAGACATATCTTGTAAAGGCTTGGTGGCAGTCACTTCCCAAGTTTTTAAACAGTGTTTAAAAAATCTAGGCTAGATGCTAATAGAATGTGGGATGGGTCCTTCCCCCTCACCCTCTTTCTGCTTCTGGAATGGTTTAGTCATACTGAATGAACATAACCATTCTGAATCCATCCCATTTCACGCTAGAACAAGTAGTTGGTCTCAAAGTGTAATATATCAGATTTGTGCTTATTGGGGAACACTTGAGTTTATTGTAATCCTAAACAAACTGGGAATCAACTTTAGGCTCACTTTAGAATATTTGCACACCCAATGCTTTTATATTTATGGATTTAAATCTCATGCACCACTGTACTAAAAGAAATGGGAGCAGTACAGTAATGCTCTATTACAGCTCTTCTTCACTCCCCTCACCCCCCATTGGGCATCCACTAGTACTAGGCAGCTAAATTTTCCTGTGTTCTTTTCCATCAGTTCTCATCCAATTCAGGAAAGAAAAGAATTATAGAAGTTCTTTCAAAAGAAAATAGAATTTTGGAGACATTCCAATGGGTAGGCTGGGATGTTCTTGTGCTTATTTAGTAAAGATGTGGCCAAGAGGTATCTATATATGAAAACATCCTGTCCTGTCTTTAACTGTACAATCATTTTTTCAACTGGCCTGCCCTTCTCATATTCCAATTAAATTTCCAGGAAAGACTACATAAGGGAATTCTACTGACTGGTATTTTTTAATAGCAGTGCTTCAGTCACAGGTAATAGAGAGCCTTGACTTTGAGAAACAGTTGAGAAATTTCTCCTTCCCCTGGAAATTATCCACACCGGGTGTCTGCCTATAAATTTAGTGTAAAATTCTGAATGCCCATTTGTGCATAGGTCCAGATTCTACAAAACTTCTTCTAGTTCATTTGGTTAGATCAGAACACTGATCAATAGAATCTCAGTCAGTGAACAACTGGGGAACATGAAGAACATTATTCTGATTTCCCTTTCCCTCTTCTTCTCCCCAGTACCTCCTGAAAAGTTGCTTTGTAGGGCTAGTAGAAATTCTGGAACAATGTAAATGTGATTCAGGAAACTGGAAGGGATAAAATGGAATTGAAGGTTCCTAGGATCATCTGTGAATGAACGAACTATACACAGACAGAATGGGCATTTTGGATCTAATCTGCAACATCTTTTAAATTTAGCTGGCAAAGTCTAAAGATCGTTATCCCTTTCCATTTAATTATCAACATTACAAGGATTTAAATATTTTTTCTATACAATTAATAATCTTAAACCAAGTTGTCTGAATGCATGCTGAGCCTTTTAAAATCAGTTGCTGGTTTTAAAATCATTTGCTTAAAATAATCTAGTATTAATCAGCTCCTTCAAGAAACAATACAAGTTCAGCTGGAAACTCTAAAGCACAATGAAGGAATGGAGAATGATTTTCTTATAATGAAACAACTTAAAAAGCTTCCATCAGCATACTTAAATAAGTGTTTTTCTCTATGAATTCTTGTTCAAATACTAATGATAAAAAATGAAGCATTTGCAAGAAAAGAACCAAGCTCGGAGAACCCCAAGGACTCCACAGTTCAAACCTGAGCTACAGATATTCTCTGTAGATCATATCAGAATGTGGGATATA